CTCTCTTCTCTTCAAAAAATTGCACCAATAAAAAAATGGATTAAAAAAAAAAAGCCGCACCATCACATCAAAATCAAATCCTATGTGCTCATATACTCATCTGCACAAAAAGGAGGGGAAAAGGAAAAAAAAAAAAACACAAAAAAACCACAAAAAACCACCCACACTCAACCACACTCCCGCCGTAGACATGTATTTCTAAAAAAAAAAAAAAAAAAAAACAGAGGAAGGTAAAAAAGCTCAACTCGCTGTTTCTCTTAATATTTTTAGTTTTTTGTTCTCCCATTTGTCGTTTCTATTCCCCTTTTTTTTTTATTTTGGCTGTTTTATTTTTTTGATTTCGTTGTTCTCCGCCTCTTTCTTCTTATTTGTACGTAGGACGTCTGGGATCATAATTCAGCGAGTGGGGGGTGGGTGGGAAAGAGCCATACTTCATTTGCTTCCATTCAATATAGCTTTTTATTTGCTTCTGTCCACTTTTTCTGCCTTATCTTCATACCTACAGCAGCCCATTGGTATGAGAAAAGAGTGTACATGCGTGACTGACATGATTAAAATTAGAATTTATTTGCAATGTGTATGGGTAATTGGGGAGTTAAGGAAAATTTTACTCCACCTCAATGCGTGCATCCCATGGGATTGTCAGCAGCGGATTGGTGGCATCCATTGCGCGTGCATAATATGCAACCTCATCAAAATTGAGACGGTGTCTTTGATGGCGTCGGCCTGGTGCCTTGGTCCCCCCGTGGGCGGTAGATGTGGAGGACTGTGAAGATAAAAGTGGGTCCACCTCCCGTTCGCACTCCTCCTGAATGACTTTCATTGCCCCATTCTTGACAAAAGGACAAATGATATCTGGGGAAGTGCACACATTTTTGCCCAGCTCCCTGCCAAGAAAGCGGTTGGTCCAGTGTTTTAAAAGCCGGGAACTATCCGAGTCCGTAAAGCGATCCACAATAGCAATCTCAACCCCCGCTGACCCCGACTGGGTTAAAAGACCCTGTGAGTATGAGAGCTTTACCTCAAGAAACGTACGGCACGAGTATCCGGGGGTAAAAAGTGTGAGTGGTGTATTACCTGGAAGGACCAACTCCATCTCCGCAATTCCATGATTCTCCTCACGAGATATGCTTTCATGCAGCACCTTTTCTGTCAAAACGCTCCTATAATCCTGTTCCTCCGCATGGGATCTCATGGTGATGTGGCTAACAATCTGAAACTTCACTTTTGTCACAGATGACGCACCTCGCGTATTGTCCACGACGGCACGAAATCGGATTTGACTCCCTCGTGTGCCGATGATCTGATGAACTATCAAAAAGACATCAACGACGCCTCTCTTGAAGACGCCATAGACGGGCACTTCAAGATGATGCTCCCAAGAAGAATTCTCCCTCAAAAAAGCGGAGGGAGAGGGGTGGGCACCGGCATTACCCTCCGTCCGCTCTAAAACGTGTTCGCATGTTCGTTTTCCCGCAATATGTTCATTTCCCCCGGGAATGATAATCCCCGAAGTACCATCCGTGCCTTCGCTCCTGCTGTTTTCATGCGCAGACACGGGTGAAGGCCAATTATTCATTGTGTTTTTTAAGAAAGCCTTCGCAGTAGCGTCTTGAAAAGTACTCCCCAAAAAGTCGTTGCTGCAAGAAGACCCTTCACCGCCTTGCCTACCGGGTTCCATCGCACTTTCAAGTGACACTTGATGGTCTATAAGAACCGTTTTACTGCCCGTATTGCTCTCACTCGCTTCAGTCCCGTCATCAGTTGCGACTGCCGATTTGGATGGTGTAATTAAGAAAAAACCCCTATCCACGTGTGCCTTAATCCATCGTTTTGGATTTAGCGGAGGCATCTTAAGAGAAAAGTAGACTCGGTGCTTCGCCAGGACACGTGAGCCTGCAAATAATTTAGCCCGCACCTCATAAGACAATTTTGAAGAGCCGGTATTGCGGTGGTCCACATAAGATGGAGGCAGTACATCTGGTAACCGCACAGAAAACGGGAAACTGTACGTCCCCGGCATGAGTCCTTTTGTTACGACGGTTTTGGCTCCCGAGCCTTCCATAAAATTACCCCCATTGTCACTCCAGACATCGCTAAAATCCTCCTCGGACGCTGAGCGTGTTTCAGGGTTGGGAGGATCACCCGCCAATATAACATTCTGACGGTAAAATGTCGTGTATCGCGTCTCCGTGTCAATTCGCTTCGTCAGAGACGTACCAAACCGTGTCGTCTCCTCTCCCAAAACACAGGCCTGCAGTGTCGTGAAACAAAGTGGTGCTTCCATAGCTATCTCGACCACACCGCGTAGTGTGTCGCCAGGGTAGTGTTGCATCTTCTCAAGAAACACAAAAAACGATGAAGTATGCTTACTGGAATGGAAAAAGTCCATTTTCACTGTCTTTCCCTTTCGGTTTTTTTTTTTTTTTTCGTTTGATTGTTTGTTGTTTGTTTTCGTCTGTCCTCTTCCTTTTTTTTTGCTTTTCGCTGTTGTTTTACTTTTTTTTTTTTGTCTCCTTTTTCTTTCCCTCCCCCCTCTTTGCTCCAATTTATATTCCTTCTCTCCTGCTCTGCCTTCTTAAACCCGTGCACACGTATGCCGCAGACGAGCGCTGGTTTTGTTGTTTTGTTTTGTTTTGTTTTGTTTGTTTGTTCGTTTCCTCCGTTCAACTGAAATGGTGCACACAAGCCTGCAGATGTCAACAGCAACAGCAACGGCAAGAGGAAGAGGCAGAAAAAGAAGACGAAAAACCACAAAAAAAAAAAAAAAAGGATTAACGGAAAGAACCCTGCAAGAGACGCAGGAGTGCCGATCAACATCCCCCTTCCCATCAAACACACAGAGAAAAAAAGAAGAAAAAAAAAAAAAAAGGAAAAAAAAAAACATCCTCCAAGGACTATTTCTTCTTTTGAGCGCCTGTCTCAAGAGAGCTTAAAGAAGTTTCTGCCTCCGTGTGCACACGAATGTGCGTGGAGCATAATTTGTTATGTCTGCCGCAGCGTCCGTCTCTTCTTCACGGGTGGGGACGCGATGCTTTCCGTGGCGGTGGTCAACGCTTCTGTGGGTTCCATCGCCGAGGAGGCCGTTGTGGTCGGGCCCTGGCTAGACACGGACTGCTGCTCGGCACCGTGCAACGTCGCTGTGGGGGCTGTCGTGTCCTCCGCGGTGCTGGTGATGAAACTCCCGTCGATGCCACTGTGCGTTGACATGCGTGCGTCCACTGCGGCAGAGGAGGATGCCGGCGTTGAAGGTGCCCCACGGCTTGGTCGAATTGGTGTCATGCCTTCTACCGCCCCGCCAATAAGTTGCTCCCTGCGTCGCTTCATCTCCGCCGCCTGCTGGAGGACCTTCGAAAAAGATCTGCGAAGATACTCCAGTTCATTATTCACAATGTTGGTGAGTTTGATGCCAGGGATGTACACAGGGGAGCCCTCAGCCTCAAACACAGCCATGCTCCTCTGTAACTTCTGCCACCGTATCGCCTTGATTTCCCCTACAAGACGAATAACTTCGGCCACATGCGGTACATCCTCCGCGGCAGCGCTGTTCTCGCAGAGTTTCTTCACCACCTCAAAGAAATAAAACGGCAGTGCCTCAAAGGTTGCCTCATTCTCCTTCTCCTTCTCGACCACATTGCGAAGGTACGATATCGTCATGAAGGGTGGCGGATTGATCGTGCATGTATCCGTTTGGCGTATGTGCAACGCGAGCCAAAGTGGCAATTCAACGGGATAATTCGGTGCGAAAGGACCATAACGCCCTCCAAACGCCGTCAAAACGCGTGGCATCGTAAAACGCGGCACGATTATCACTGTCACCTCCATCGCGGCAAAAGATGCAAAGTGGTATGCAGTGAAGCTGCTGCTACCACCTCCCCTACCAACAGGAACACCACCACCAACAGCAGCAACGGCAGCGGCGTCATTGTCAAAGTGAATGCCAACGCCATTAGTTGCAGTGGCCGAAGACACCGTACTCATTGCACTCCAAAAACTAAAAAAGAGAGAAGAAAAAAGAAGAAGTGAACACACATACATGTATGCGTTTATATCTATACGTAGATATCGAAAAAGAGGAAAAAAAAAAAAAAAGGTACATGTATATGTATAGAATAAACATCAAAGAGGACACAAGACAGAAACGATGCGCCCTCTTTTTCCCCCACATACCCCTCCATGGACCCATATTAAGTTCCCAGTAATACCTCAAGATGCATGGTTGCCTCATCGCACTACTACACACACACAAACACACACACACAGACACATAAACATACACAAAGAGGTTATTTTGTTTCCTTCTATTGTATATGATCATACAGATAGGATGCAAAAAGGTACCGCACCAAAAGGCCAAAGATACAGCAGCAGACTTGCATCTTCATTACCGCATTGGTCAGGGCTCGTTCATGCATGTCCCCATAAATCCACAAAATGGCGTTCAAAAGCGTATAATTTCCGCTATTTTGCAGCACATCCTGTTTTGCATTCCAACGCGGAACCCGATGACGCGGACAAGGCAAAAAATGAAACAATTGCGGAAGAGAAAGAGCAAAATTAATAAGTTGCGGAATAAAAAACAACATGAGGGTTTTGCCATACTGCCCTGTCACACCTGCAACAGCAAGTACAGTTCCCGCAAAGTAAGTGTAGCTATCACCCACAAAGATTCGAGCAGGGTATTGATTGTAGTGCCATAACGCTATACTTACACCTATAAACGGTGCTAAAAGTGCAATTGCCATTAATTCATGCATGGAACCACCGCCATCTGTCTCTATTTTATGAACATACATGTCGCCAGAAGCAATTAATCCATCTTGAAACTCCATCTCTAACCGCAACTGAAAAATGTTGTAAACAACACATGTGAAGGCAATGACAATGCTTTGCGCCACCTCCACTCCATTCACACCCGCAAGGATGTTGATGCTGTTTGTACAGAAAATGCATAGCAAGCCCAAATACAGCAGATAAAAGACGCCAAGATACACAAAAGATGTGGAAAAGTATGGTAGTAATGGGCGTGGAACGGCAATGGACACACTTCCGTCATATGTCAACATCACTGGAAAAGTTCCAATGGCCGAGAGAAGAAGTTTATGCCGCCAGCGCACATCCAACACATCATCCACAAATCCCAGAAGCAACATCACCGTGATGGCTGTTATCGCACCGTCCAACTTGTGCATGGAGGGCCCGAACACAATTGCCAGTTCTAGCACCAACACGCACAAATACACGGCGCCTGCAAGGATGCCAAGGGACTCTGGCACAACAAGCCGCCTTTCCTCCTCCCCCAGGGCTTTGAGGGGCTTCTCTGCTATCTTCCTCCGCTTTTCCAGCGTCGTCTTGTTGATGTCGACGCCGCAAATACGACGCTCCAACAACTTCATACAAACAGGATCCATAAAACGCATGCAAATGACATAAGCCACCACGCCCGCAAAAATTATGACGGACAGTTCAAAGCTGTGTGTGCAGAACGATTTGACAATGTTGCACAACGCAACAAAGACTGAGTTACTCGCACCCATCGACACAATACTCTCTTTAAGCACACATGCATACAGACAGACAGACAGACAAAGACAGAGAGAGAGACAGAGAGAGAAAGAAGGAGAGAGAGCAAACAAAACAACATCTGCGACAAATAAATAAATAAATAAATAATATACATAAAGTCTCATGATCCAACACCTCCTTATTCATAAGGGCTCCAAACACACACAAGCAGTGCACGTGTACCGCCTAACCAAAAGCCTAACGGTTTTTCTTTCCTGTTCTCCGAACACACACACACACACACACACACACAGGAAAAAAAAAAAAAAACCCTCGAGTTGTAAATTTTATGACGGGTACCCTTTTTCTTTGCGGTTAATCGTCATTCCTCTTTCTCCAAGATGGAAATTCATTTATCCTCCAGGCCGCCAGCATAAAAAAAAAAAAAAAAAAACGACATGCATTGCAGAGAATGTGAGAAGCAGAAACAACAACAACAAAAAAAAAAAAAGGTGCAAAAAAGGAGCGAGACACCCCCACTGCCCTCAGTCGTCCCAAAGATCCGGATTACTGCTGAAAAGCGCCCCGCCACGAGGCCTCTTTTTATTCGCCACTCTATTCTTGCATTTGGCGGCGGCATGTGTTTTATTTCCTTTTATTGTTGACCAAACGAACTCTTCCTCCCCCTCCCCCTCTGAAGAAGAAGAAGAAGACATTTCTTCTTTGCCCGCCGCGCTAGAAACCTTCCTATCATAGACACCCCCACTCGATGTAAACTCAACAACCTCCTCATCGTCCTCATCCCACTCCCTCACATTATCATCCGATGTCAACTCCGTCCTTCTCATTCTCGCAGCCGAACGACCGCTCAATTCTCCACGTGCCACTTGACGCATTGCCCAAAACTGCTGCGACCGTGCCGGTGTGAGGCGCGCAAGAAATACAGCGGTCTGCCGCAGCACCTCCGCCGAAATCGAAGGATCCTCCTCGCCCTCTTCAAGCGGCACCGCTGAAAGATCCATTGACCCCAACACACATGGCTTCACTGTGCTGGTCTTCCTCGTGTCGGCAGGGACACGTTTCCCGCTGCGTGTGGTTTTTGGCGCCATCGGAGAAGATTTTTTGCTTTTAATCCTCGTAGCCGATGGGTTGTCTCCCTTTTTCACGGCTTCTGACAGCCCTCCTTCTGTCCCACGGGCAGCGATGGCATCGTCATTCGTCGTGGTGGCGACCGCCAGATCGGCAAGAAACAACGCGGCCGTTTCTTCTTCCGTCATACGTGTCGTCCTTCCTTTTTGTGGGTGCCGCGTCGTCGTGGAGGACGTCGCGGTCATGACTTCCACCACCTCTTCCTTCTCCTTCTTCCCCTCTGGCTTGCAACGTTTCCGCCGCTGCATGGACAGAGTGCGCCGCCCCATTCAGACACACACACACACACACACACACACACAGCCAGACAACCCCTACATGTCACCGTACAGAAAGGGATGACGTAAAGGTGCCGTCATGCAAAAAAAAGAAAAGAAAAGAAAAGAAAAGAAAACAATACAAAGACTCTCAAACGCACAATGTATCATAAGGAACAGCTCATGCAAGTTGATAGGGACAAGCGGAAGAAAAAAAATAAAATAAAAAAAAAGCATTTAAAGAAGGTATATGTAAAAGAAAAAAAAAAAAAAAAAGACTCGAAGAGTAAAAAAAAGCAACTCCATGTTTGCACACGAGTTTCTCTTCTATTGAAGACGCACTGGTCCATTTCTTTCCCACGTAACCGATTTATACATACAGACATTGTGGTAAAAATGCATTTGTTGTACAGTGAAACTAAAACACAAGTTTTAAAAAAAGCAACAACAACACCAAAAATAACAACAAGGACCAAATAAACATATATACATTCACACATACACACGCACATCAACATACATAGATGCACACTTCTAAATAGGATCCCCCATCCATTCTATCCTCCAGGCATTCATTCGTACTGCTTTTCCACTCGTGTTTTTTTTTTGTTTTGCTTTGTTTTTTCTTTGTGTATTCATGCATACGTACATGTATGCACACGTAGTAGATATGATGTAGAAATAAATTTGTACTCCCGTATTTTTTGTCTTTTCATCCATTCGATTCAATGGCCATTTTATTTCTTTTCTGCCTTCCGCTTTTTCCTGTTCTTCTTCTTAAGAATAATGAGAGCCTGTCGTGTAAACATGGCTCGAATTGCAGACTGAATCTGCGAAACCGCGTCGTATTCCCGGTTTGCCTGAGCTTCCGCTGCCGTCCTTTCCGCTTCCTCCTGGTTGCGTTCCTCATCCCTCTGTGACTTAAGCTGCAGCTCAAATTCCTTGTCCTTCAATGCCTTTTGCAACCGCTCCGCACATTGTTGCCGCATCTGTTCAACGTCAATCTTGCGTGCCTCAACCCGCTTAATCTCAGTCTGGTTCTTTTTCTCCCACTGGCTCGCAAGTTCATCCATCGCCTCGGTACGCTCTATGAGGTGCTCCTTGAAGTCCGCATGCGCCCGACTCTCCATTTGTTCCTCCTGCTCCAGTCCACGTATTTGTTCGAGCACCACGCGCTCCTCATCACGAGCGGCACGTTGCCTCGCCTCATTCAAAGCCTCTACCTCGGCACGTACCACCTCACTCTGCTCCTTTACATGCTTCTTTTCCAGTCTTACCTTGACCTTCAGTTCGGCGATGCGTTGGCGACGTTCGGCTATATCCTTCTCCTTCAGCACCTTCTCAGCCTTGAGGTCGTACTGAAGCTGCTTCACATTCTGATTCATTTCCTTCTCCTTGAGAAGTAGCTCATCGGCCCAGCGTTGAGCATTCTGCTCGTCTGAAATTAACTTGGCGAAGCGTTCAAAGAACGATGCTAGAGGGATACGAGGTCCCACAGGGCCTCGTACACTTCGCTTCATTTGAATGGTGCTACCAAAGCGATTTTTCACGATAGACATCGTAGCCTCCCTTGACTCCGTCCCTATGCTCTCCGAGACACCGGAGCGCTTGCGTCTACTGTTGGGGCGTGGTAATCCTCCTTGTGTAACAGCCGCCTTCGCAGCGTTGTATCCTGATGTCAGTTCCCGTATAAGAGCCTGCAGCAATTGAATCAACTCGGACCTCTCATTTCCAATCTTTTTCCAGTTGTCCACATCATTGGGATTATCTTTGAGTTGAATAAAAAGTGCCTTATTGTGCTCACGCAGTCGTCGCGATGTCTGCCTTAATTCCTCCATAACAGCCGCCCGCTCCGTGTCTTGAACGGCGGCAAAGCAACTCGGGTCCAGCTCCGGTTCATTAGGACTTGGCTTCGCCTTTTTCGCCCGACGCAACAGCTCTCCGTAGCGCAACTCCAGCCGTTGCTGCTCCTCCACCAAATCCGCCACGGTGGGGCGCCCGGTACGTTGTGTGCTTGCAACAGCCAACAACGCCGAGTTGAGCTCAGAAACTGTCCTGGTTGAGATCTCCTCGTTCCTGGCAACCATCACCGCCGCCTTACGCGGTGTGAAAGAAGAGGAAGACTTGTTCCGGCCGGCATCCCCTACATTTGTGGTGCTGCCAATCGCGGGGAAAAATGGACGAGTGGCCCCCTCGTCGGGTGCCGTTGTATCCAAAAGACCCAGCAGCTCCAACCGCTCAATGGCCTTCTCCAAAACCGACACCACGCGGTTCGTGGAGAGAAACTCAAGCGGAAGAGAGTCGATGTCGCACTCATGTGAACTTTGCTGGGTGGTACCAAAGAGATGCATGGTTCTATCAATGATGGTAGTGTCACTTGGCTGCTGCTTCAGAGCCGCCAGCTGCGGCGTGCCATCACTGCTCATAATTCCCTCGTGCCCGTTTGTTTGTCCCTTCCCAACGCTATTATCCTTCGCAAACGGACACAAGCCGCGTCTTGTGACAACACGTTATTGTAATCTACAAATATACCTGTAGAACTAAAGAAAATGTGGGCCCAACACACACACACACACACATACACAGAGAGAGAGAGAGAAATAGCGAGAGACAGAGAAAAAAAGAGACATGCGCGCCTTGACACGTAAGAGAGAACAAAGTGCGCTAATGAGAATGAGAAGGAAAAAGTATTGAAAAGAAAAGTAAAGAAGACGGTTCGAGATATCATCCAGAGAAATATTGGCTCGTGTAAAACTCACTCAGAAATAAGTACCATACACACAGAGACACACCGGCGATTTATAAATTTTACGTAACACGCATCAAACTCCAATGGGAGTGGGGAAGCGAAGGAAAGCGTGTGGAGGCAATCCTCCCTCTTTTCATTGGAGTCCCACACACTCCGTCTTACTCGTAGCAAACACACACGCACAAAAACAAACAGACGGGCAGACATGCATACAGAAAAACCGCCAATAATAATAATAATCATAAAAGCCGTATGGAAGAACAACAACAAAAGGGTTAAATGCAAATAAATGAGGCTAAAAGGTTAAGAATTGAGTTGCCACTCCGCATTACACGTTATGCACTGATAAAATATTGTCTGCCCCTCATCTGCGCTTCGTATTTGACGTGCAAACACTTTGCACTGGCGGTGTACACCACATGTGCCACAAAATGCCTCCTCCAAGACGCGGTTGTCAACATGTGTGCTGCCGACCGCCGTTCCTACGGTTGTGCCTGCCTTTGCCCGTGCCATCATCACCTCAGCCTGCGCGGCACGAACTTCTTTCGGCGTAAACAGCAATGCAGCAGCGGTGTTGTTGCTTGCGCTGCCTGTGGACGTCTCATAAACACCATCGCCGCTGTTGTTGTTGTTGTTTTGTTGGTGGTACGTCCCACATTGCTGGCACCACATCACTGGTGGCGGTGACGTTAAACTCTTCTGCTGCGGCATCCACGCCCCGCAAACGGCGCAGTACATGGAGCCCATGCTGAGAAAACGGGCAGTAGTCGATGCAGACATGTCCCTTCCCGATCTTCTTCCCGTTCTGTCCGTACGTCTGTGCGTCTGTGTGTGTGTGTGTTTTGGTCTTTAAGTCGGCCACCCTGTTTTCCCCACGCCCCCCCCTACACCACCACGCAGTGAAAACGAAGGAGAAAGAAAGAGGCTGAACGCACACACACTCGCCAAAAAAAGGCAAAAAATAAAAAATAAAAAAGGAGGGGGAGAGGTTTGGCAAGGCTCAAAACTCAGCAGTACAAACGGCGATTTTTTCTCCGGTACGCGCTGTAAAATGCATGAAGTCGCACGCACCCAACAAATAGCATCGCCATCATCATCATCACAAATACAAGCAAAGCAGTACGAGCGGCAACAACAACAAAAAAAAAAGAAAAAAAAAATACGAAAAATAAAACCGCTAAAGGAAAAAAAAAAAAAAGGAAAGGAAAGAAAGTACACGGGTGAAGAAAAAATCACATAGAAACCAGAAAATGAATAAAGCTAAATATTGAGGCAATCAACATGACGCCTTGATACGCCAAACGCACACGAGAGTCCATCTCAAGTGCACCCAATTTTTTCCACGCTGTTGTGGCATCAACTAAAAAGTCCCCCCTCCTAAAAATCCAATAGTCATACGCCAGTTCCAATAAACCGGCAATACCCATCAACCAACCGCCCATCAACAGGCAGTGAAGCAACGCAAAGCAGCGAATACTCAGTTCCGCAATGATCAGCGGGTTCAGTTGCTGCTCAAGCTCCATGGCGTTGTTCATTTTATCCGCGTAATCCGTGACAGAGGAAATATGAAAAATGGACAACAACAAGGCAGCCACCTGCAGCAAAAACGCCAATACCCACGTTACGATATTGTGAACAAAATGTCCCAAAAAAACCATCAGAAAGCAGAAGTGCATAAAGGCAAAGAATGCCGCCTGTCTTATTTTCCATGTGGTGTGTGGGCGATGACGTTCGGTTATCAAGACATACACCCAGTCTATCTGCATCGCCACCGCCTCGCGAAACCTATGAGTTTCGTCCATGTGTTTAATTCCTTTTTTGATTTATTTCCTTTTTTTTCTTTTTTTTGGTTTCAATTGCTCCTTTCTTGCTCCCCGTTTTCTACGTGACCTCCCAGGCTTGACTTCTTCTTCTAACCCCGTTTCCCTTTTTTTCTTTTTGTTTCTTTGTTTTTTTGTGTGTGTTCGGTGTGGCTTCGCTCCCTCTCGTCTCCACACTACAAGAAGCACGTCACAAAGTACCCCCGCCGTCAGAACGGGGGAGAAAAAGGAAAAGAAAACAAAGGCGGCCAGTGTACTCAAAAAGGCAGAAGATCACAACGTGTCATCATCCGCATGAATCAAAAAGGCTCAAACTGGTAAACCACAAATAAGAGTGAACATTGCCTCCACACACACACACACACACCAAGAAAAAAGGGGAAAAAGACAGAGACAAAAAAAAAAAAAAAAGACGCAACTCGCCCCACCCCTGCAGCGGCGACACTTAACGGCTACTTTTTCTTGCGGACCATTTGCCTCCAACTCTCCGGGTATTGCGAGGAGTTTGTGTGGTGCAGCGGCGTGACGACGGTGGGCCCCCGCGGCATCCACAGCCAATTGGCGGGGGTATTTGCCTTGTGCCAACGGACCAAGAACCGTCGCTTTGCCCGGTGGTTCTGCTTGAAGAGATTCAGTGGAAACTTCGGCTCAACGTCGCCGAGTACCGGCATGAGCGGGTGCTGCGACCACTCGCGGTGCATGTCGCGAATGCGATTAAACTCCTCCGTCTTGCCGTCCAGCGTCTCTCGCATCATCCAATCACGCAGCTGGTCGAGGTGGTCGTATGTGAGGCGCACAGGACGTGGCAGCCACTCCACCGGCCCCTTGTCGTACCACGCCACATTGTCGCTCGGCTTCGAGCGCATCTTGTTGTTACGCCCAAAGCCAGTCCGTTTGGGCTTCGGGTGTGTTGTGCCTAAAATAGAGAAGCGCTCCGGCGTGGCCGTCAGCGCAGCAATTGTGCGGCGCATGCGACCCGCTAAAAAATAATAATAAAAAAACAAAAACAAATAGCTACTAGCGGACAACGGCGCACAAACGGCAAAACAAACAAAAAAAAAATAAACAAAAGAAGAGAAAAAAAAAAAAAAAGATCCACTCAAACCGCCCACGCACTCGCATTCACGCACAACCCCTTTTTTGAACATGTGTCACGTGAGCTCCACGCCATTCCGCCAGGAGACGGGCGGAAGGGGGTAAAGAGAGAGGAAGAGGGTGGAGAGGCGGACAGCGTTGCCACCACAACAGCCCACAACGACAACAGCAACGATATAAAAGAAAAGCACACATGTTTTGGCCGCATCGCACAGTTATCACCGGCACTTTAAAAAAGCAGTAGCAGCGGTACTTCACCACACGGCTCCCTTCTCTAATAAAAGAGCTTCTCACGCCTTTGGCGTAAAAATAAACAAATATCTGCTCGACCTGCATCGCGTGCTTTCCGAAATAGCCATGCCCACACACGCTGGTCTAATATAACACTACTAAACCCATGCGCCGCTCCCCCTTCTTCGCCCGACTCATCTAATTTGTGCAGTAGACGCTGCACTTCCTCCCACATCTCCACCTGTGTAAGGAGCATCAGCACCACACTGTACGCATTCCCAAAGCCTGTTGGCTGGTTCAGCACACTCCGTACCATCTCTTGCAGAAGACGCAGCGCATCTTTTTGTAGTGCGGCAGCGTCATTTAAATCCATCGCATCCCCGTTGACCCTCTCAGGGCTGCTGATCGTGCGCAGTAAAGGGGACAACAGGACCATAGCACTCGCCGCACTGTACAAAGGCAACTGTAACAATGTGGCTTCTTCACGCTGTTCCTTCTGTTGTTTTTTTTGGGTCTCTTCCATACGAATCAGAAGCTCGGTCATCACTCGAACCATCAACGTATACCGTTCTGTTGCAGGCGCTGTCGACGCTGCCACGACACCCACTATGGTCTCCATCACCAACGCCAGGAAGCACTGTTGATCTTCTATGTTGCTAATGGAGGTCTCAAGGCCTTGCGCCACCACTCCGCCCAAAAGGAAAAATTCCTCCAATTCGGATGCAACGTTTTCTCCATGATGGCACCGACGGGAAATATCAAGGTGCACTCGCATCCATTCAACCTCGACTTTTGAAAAGCGATGGTTTCCCGTGGAATTGTCGCCTTTGGGAATGAGCGCCGGATCCTCCAGTACTAAAGCAGCGTACACGGACGCATCTGCAAGCGTGGATGCTTCATTCTGAAGTAAATTCCTCAGTATGTCATCCAATGTTTTCTGCCGCCTCGACTCCGGCCATGACGTTGAGGATGAAACATCCATAGAGTCAAGGGCCCTAAGCTTGCCTTTTGACAAAGATGATGGCAATTTATCCTCATCCCCATCGTGCTCTTTGCACTTCATGCCTCCTTCACGATCATCATTATCATCACCATCATCATCATTTTCCTCATCATTATTGTTACTATCAATATTACTACTATCGGCATCATCCCCATCCTCATTGTCATGGGCAACGTTAAATAAGGAACAAATATGGCGGTGCAACGACATTTCGCTTTGATACGCCAGTCTGCCATAGTACAGAGCGGAAATAAACTCATTTGAAAAACGGCACAGTAATTCTTCATCGGACTGACTGTGACACCAAAAAGTTTTTTTGAGCTTCCAACCCGATTTCGACTCGCCCGGAGTTGACGGCGCAACAAAAAGCATGCAGAACATCAACTGCAGTTCAATAAGGAGCTTCACCTCCTTGGCCTCCGCTGCACATTGTACAAGAGCAAGAAGAAGCCCTGTGTATTCCTCCAAAACCGCTGCGGTGGATTTATCTCTGCCATCCAAAGTCGTGTCACGAGAGGAAGACGATGACGACAAATGGGAAGGAGTAGAAGACAAAAAGGAGGCACCGTCAGAGAAAGGACAACAGCAAAGACGGCCAAACAGATCCAACACCATTTCATCATGGCGCGCCTCCCGCAACGATTGTTCCCAGCCTGTCTCTGCCTCATGACTTCTCTCCAAAGGAAGAAGGCCCAATTCCACTAAACACTCCCAGAGAGGAATGTAAAGCTCTTTAAAAAGATACCGCACGTACGGCGATGAGTTCACCAATTGGACTGCATGTGTCTCCTCTCCACTCTCCGCATCCGAAGAGCCAATAGAAACTGCAGTTTTTGCCTCAGTTGTGGCTAAAGCTGTAGGGCCAGTCGTCACAAACGTCCCTCCAAGAAGAGCCTCGTGTGCCCTCGTCAAACTCAAATTGCTTGACGGCAACACGGACTGCACAAAATCAATAAATAACCGCACATCATGCAGCACGGCAGTAGGAAAGGGTATTCGACGCTCTCGCGCGCACTTCCTCAGCCAATCCAACGCGTATGGAAACGCCCCTAGTCGAATATTCTTCGAGATGGCTCCGTATATTAACTCATCGGTCAACACGAATCCCTGAAGCGCCTCAAGTCCCTTCAGGCTTCTGTTCCAAGCGTCTATCTCGTCTGCCATGTGTGGCGTCAGCGGGTTCCCGCGGAGTATGCGGTCACAGCACGCATCACCCTCCTTTTCACTCTGCTCCTGCTGCCGCTTTCTCACCTGCAGCTGAACGTCGGCAGCGCGCTTCAAAATGTGCTTCCGCGTGTTGAAGTACGTCTCCGCGGTGCGGCTCTTCATTGAAAGAAACTTCTCCTGCTTGAACGGAACCGGTTTAAAGGACGGCACTGGCCGTGGCGCCGCCAGCCGCCCTGCCGCATGGGCCTGCGTTGCCGCGTGCAGTGCTGCAGTCGCCGCCAAACCTCCCCGCCGCACCGTGTCTAAAGTAAAAAAAAAAAAAAATATTATAATAAATAAATAAAAGCTGCTTCCCAATCCTTCACTGTCGGCCACAGCTGCCAACTATGGAAGGAATGACAAACTGGGAAATGAAACAAACAAACAAAAAAAAAAAAAAAAAAGAAAGAAAGTGTGAAGTGAAAAAAAAAAGAAAACGACAAAACCTCAAAATGTTCACTCCATGATAAATAAAAAAAATCTTCGGCGGAGAAACACGCACACACCAGGTGTGGCAGAGACCCAAAAATAGGAAAAAGGGAACGTGTGTTTCTGCGTGTGCGTGCGTGTGTGTGTGTGCGTGTGATATTCCACATAATACACCCGCCACCCCTCAAATATGGGGGGAAATGTCAAACAATAAGCGGAGCATTCCAACTGTACATGAGCGCCTCCCTCCTGCTGCTGGTGCTGCTTTTTTTTCTTTTTTTATCCTCCATGGAGTAGGCGTGCTGAAAATAAATAAAAAAACAAAAAAAAAAGAAAAACCAGACAAACACACCAACACAAAAACCCAAACACCCTGAATAATTTTTGCCATCTCAAACATAAAATGTACATACGTAACAAAAATAAAAAAACCGCAATAAGGCAAAGTGATAGAAACCCTTTTCATCAAATTCATTCCTTCACTCCTGCGTATGCAAGAGGGAAGCCAGCAGGCAAAGACACGGCAAGGACGACGGCGAATCAGAAGCAACGGAAAGAAGAAAACCCAAAGCACCGCTAGAAGAAGAAACAACCTGCTGCTTCTGCTGCTGCTGCTGTTGTTCTTCTTGTTGTTGCTGAAGTTGTCGCCTGAGCTCTTCCGCCTCAGTACGCCTCGTCTGACGCCTTCTCTGACGTTTGCCCTCAATGATAGGCAGCATACTGGCCTCTCGATCAACAAGTCGCTGATACAATTCAGAAGATATGTAATTCCCATGTGCCCGTATGCATGTTGTGCAACTGGAATTCATCTCTAAAGAGTCCAGAAATACCCTCAACGCAAAATCCTCCGTAATGCCATTCCACCGTATATCTAAGACCTCGAGTTGTGTGTTATCCACCACTTCAGCAGTGAGGCGTGAGTTCAATGTCAACTCCTCCAGTAGCAAACTCCGTATACCCACCGTCCCCAAACAACATTCAGAAAGATCAACATATCGCAGTGAACTTCGAGGATGAAATATCATCCTCCCCAACCACATGACATGCGAGTCTGTGATGTGGCTTCCCGAGAGGTCAACAAACTCTAATTTTGCCATGGGCTTCAAGTCATCCGTAGAAGAGTTCGTCGCCTGATTAACAACCTCATCTGCTGCAGATGCCGCACCTTTTACAGCTGTGGCTTTGTTTTCCTCTGACGACCATTTGCAGCCTTTTCCAACACCGCATGAATACTCCACAAGTTCCAGCAGATGCCTCATATAATGAGCGGGTAACCGCAGGTTACCTCCCGCAAGCAGGGTATACAATGGTAGGTGATAAAGGCACGCAAGAAATTTGGCAAATAATGGCTCTGAAACCGTCTTTGCGGTCACATTGACAAAGACAACACTACGGATAGTACTATTCCGCAGCAACGCGTCTAACATGCCGGGGGATGTGATCAACTCTGGACAAATGCGCAGAGTACATAGCGTCGGATCATTGCTACGGATACGATGTAGAAGCTTGGCTGTGATCATCCCATGCAGACGACGTGCAGAAGGCGCTCTGTCCACACGTCTCTGCTGTACGTCACACATAACTCCAGCAAGACTCCTGTGTCTGTGTGGTATTCCTCTTCTTTTCCCTTTCTTCCTACTCCTTTCCCCGCCCCTCTACACACACACACACACACACCAAAAAAAAAAGAAAAAGTAATAAACAGATTGAAATATCACTTCCTGTGCACCGTCAATCGTCAACACCTGTGCGTGATGCCACCACAAAACGACGGGAAGCCAAAAATAATAAATAATAAATAAAAAAAAGGAAAATAATTTTTAAAAAATCACAACAAAAGTCATAACACAACTCTCCTCGGCTTCTGGCGCATGCCCGTACGCTTGTGCATTTATTTCTTCCTGCGTTTGTTTAGGAGGGTAAAACCAAAAAAAAAAAAAAAAAAAAATGTTACGGCTCCCCTCTTCCACATGGCAGGTACATATAAAATAAGATAAAAATAAAACAAAATAAAAAAGAAAGAAATGCAGATAAAATAATGGCAATGATAATGATCACTCAACACAAGAGGGGTACGCGAAAGAAGCAGAACGAGATGTTTTTTTTTTTTTTTTTTTTTTTTTTTTTTGCGTGTGTGGGTGGGTGTTTACGTGGAAGGGGTGTAAAGGGGAGAAAATATTCCGTGTTTCATCCTTGTGTCTCAAAGCCATGAGTCATGTGAGAAATTCAATTTTAGGTGAACCTCCCCCACCGGCCGTGAGGAGCCTCGGCTGTCGGCACCATTCCCGTGGCAATCCCCGGCCAGCAGTGGCAGCGCCACGCCAGAAACCTCCAATAATGACGATTTGCTCCCACCCAGCGAAAGCATCATTCTCTGATCGTCCACCAGAGACTCAACACGCGTCACGTGCTTCTTCTCCTCTGGCGTGGCAAACATGAAACGAAGACGCGTCAAGAGAAATGATTCTCCATCTGTCACGTCTGTCGTGCTACTCCGAAGCACGTGGAGTACATCACAGCATGACGAGTTTGCAATGGCCCTCCACCTCAGAACAAGGTCACCTTTCCCTGGAAAAAGAACGCACTCCAAGGCAAGGGCACAGAAGGCGTGATAGTTGGCATTGCGGCCATGATAGTTGATGTGTCGACTACCGTCATCTACAAATAAATCGCCCTGCGCAAGAATTTGATCGCTAATTCCACTGCCCCTGTATTCTCCTCCTCCCGAGAAAAACGGTTCCAAACGTGGGAGCGTCACCGTTAGAGTGTAGTTCGCCGCGTCGTGCGTGCTGCGCATCCCACTCGTGTTCGTAAATGTAGGAAGAACGGTTCCTACCCGCTGAAAAAGCGGTGTGATCTCCTCCTCCGGCAGGTGTGAATATGAAATGTTCTTTGAAACCCGCAATGTCGTTCCCGCCGCCACAAATTCGCCCGACCAAAAATTATATAAATCCTCCTGCGGTATCTGAACTGTGTGCAGCACATCCCTCGTTCCCACTGAAGTTAACACCGGTGCCACAAAGAGGTGTGGACCGAGAAAAAACCGTTGGCCCAGCATCGTCGGCTCAACGTACGCAAGAGGGTCCTGCGGGTAAACAAAGAAAAGAGGACGAATGATTAACTCGCCATCCAAATGGGCTCTCCAAAAAAGTGTGTACAAATATGGCAAAAGAGCGTAACGGAACTGCACGGCGTCACGAATGCGGGCGCGCACATGGGGCACCAAACGCCACACTTCACGTAACGGTGCGTTCTCGTTGGCATCCGTGCAAAAAAGCGGGTAAAACACAGCGAGTTGATACCACCGCACTAATAACTCTTCCTCAACGTTCTGAAAGTAAAATCCTCCAACGTCGGCACCGACAAAAGAAATGCCTGCAATGCTATGCGCCAGACACAGCTCTACGCTGGAACGCAGATGCTCCCAGGAAGCCGCGTTGTACCCCAGACGCACCGCTGCGTGACGCTGTGTTCCAGCAAAGTAGGACTGTGTAATGAGAAATGGCCGGCGGTAGAATTGTGTTCGTCGCAGTTGGCCACCGTAAGCAGCCATGGCGTGCAGCATGCCATACAGGTTATGAATAACTTCATGCGGAACGGCCCCACGGTGCCCCACGTCCATCGGAAGCGTTCCCCGCAATCCACCCTGCAAAAAGGGCTCATTTTCCTCCAATGAAAAAAAAGTGTGGTTTGTGGAACCAAGAAAGCGCTTGTACTTCATCAGACCACCGTACCAGTGCCGTGCACGGGAGTCGAGAAAGTCAATCCATACGTTTGCACCAGACTCAGAAAACCCTATAAAAATCTCTTCTGACTCCGCATGTGTTCTGACAAAGTACTCGTGTCGCTTTCCCTCAATGTAAAGCGAAAAGCGTGGATCCACCCGTACATATGGCACCGTGGAAAGAACCATAAATCTTCCACCATGACGCCAGAGCTCATCCTGTAATCTCACAGGGTTCGAGAAACGTGTCAAGTTCCAAGTGAAAATTCGTTTACCGCGCATGTAATGCAAGCCAATGCCCAGTGTGTCAACTGGTATTTGTGCCTGTAAGAAGGCAGCGCTCACATTCAGCAGTTCATCCATTTTCCCGTACCCACGGTGTGCATGATGGTAGCCCAATGCAAAGAGCGGCGGCATCATTGGAAACCCCGTCAAGGTGTAATACTGAAAAAGAACATCCTCGGCTGTGGGTCCCGGCAACAGATACACACGAGTCGCACCGGCTGTGCTCCTAAACGATAGGGTCGTTTCTCCGCCAACGCCTCCTGTAGCCGTACGCACGTGTAATGGGGAGCCATTTAGCCAAAAAATGCCCATTGCACGTCGTCGCCGTCCATACAACGACTTTTTACCGTAACGAATTGGCGCTCGTCCAATACCGTACAAAAGTGGAACGGAACCATGCATCCTTGTCCCCGATAAGAGCGTCTGATTTAAATGGAACTGGTTAAAGAGACGATACTCACCGTCGTCTGGTAGACGAAGTCCCGACGCATGGGATAATGGAAGTCCAAAAAAACGCATTTTATACTCCGGATTAAAAGAAAAGTTAGCATCCAAACCATTCGATAATTCGTCTTGCGTAGCTGTCATGCGTAGTGAAATGCCTACAAAAAAATCCCCGGAATCCCAAATCAGGCGTGATTTTCCTTCCGCATCCCCACGATCACGTAGACGGCATCGCAGTGACGGTGACGCCGTGGGAGAGGCGCACCACCGCATTCCCTTCTCTTCTCCCTCTTCCTTTTCCTCTTCCACAATACTCCGTAAAGTGCTAGGACCCACTTGCACGTCTGTCTCATCCATTAAAACCTCCTCCGGGAAAAACGATGCGGCCGACTGATGTGGCATGAGTCCAACAATAGGATGTGCACTGTCGTCACATGGCCCTTTCCTCACCTTCCCTTCACCTCCTCCATGGACTCTCTGTCGGCAATTCGGTCTAAATAACCGCACTCGCATCAATACATCCCCTTCATTGGCCTCATTTGGTCCATCAGCCACCCGTTTGCATGTTTGAGTGGAGTACAAGGCATCCAAATCGTGGCGTTGGTGGGGCCACAGCAGACCTTCCTGGGGGGCATCAGTGAGAATGTTTAAAGGAACATCTGTCATCACATTTGTAGGGCGCCGCACTCGCTGTGGGTCCCGTCCTTCCTCCCGCAACGTTGCCGCTGCCGGAGAAGAAGGCCCCACCTCGACGGCTCCTTTGCCAGCAAAGTAAAAATAGTGTGGCAGCGTAAAAAAGGGTCCGTTGAACAAAACGATAAAAGCCAGAAGCAGCAACGCAAAAATAAAAACTCGTAAAGTCCATCGAAATCTGCGACGTGTCCCACGTCGAAATATCGCCCCACGCCGCCTCATCGTCTCTACTGCGCTCTCTCCAAAAATAAATAAATAAATAAATATATTTTTATATTTACTTCTTCCCTCCTTTTCACCCTCCCTTTATTTATCACCTGAGCGCTAATTATGCGTGCTGCCCCGGAGGAAGAAACACACACACACACACACACACACATATGTATAGAGAAAGAACAAAAACAAAAAAGAGAAAAAGAAACACTGCCACGGTGCAAAATAATAATAAATAATAAATAATAATAATAAAAAGAGGGCTCCGCATATGTTATGCACAGAAAAAAGAAACGGGCATGAGAAAGAAAAAAAGCGGGTTAAATGTCATGAAATGGCAGAAGCAACAGGAAAAAGAAAAAAAAAAAAAAGAAAGAAAGAGGCATTACACGTTTTTTTTTGTCGTTGTTTTTCTTTTTCTTCCTTCAGCGCGTCTATTCTATTATATATATAACATATACATGCCATACATGTTCTCTTTCATGATATTTGTTTCCATTGACTTGCAACTCACGGCACCCAAGTGGTACGAGCAGGCCACAGAGAAACTCCTCCATTCCTCCATTCCTCACAAAAACAGTGCGCATAAGCGCAGAAAACGCGTGCGGTCCGTCCACACAAACACACACACAAAAAAAGAAAGCGGAAGGGGTATTGCGATAGTCACGCGCGTCCATCTAAAGAGGCGGGCAGTGACCTCCAAAAACAAAAGTCAACGACGGCAAAACGAACGAAAGAAAAAAAAAAAAAAAAAAGAAGACAGCAGCGCAGCCAAATGTCAAGAAGCAAATAAAACCTAAAAAAAAAACAACAAAAAAACAAAAAAAAAAAATCAAATACACATGTAAACTACACCAAAACGCAACAAACGTAAAAATCTTAAAAAAAAAAAAAAAAACGAGAACTAAAAAAAACAAAAGGCCGTATCGCACAAATAATTCGCCGTATGCCAGTCGAATTAATCCCATCACATCACAATCCCTCTCTCCCTCACCCTCTCACTATATATATATGCGTATATATGCGTATATACCCCCCTTTACTCACCCATCATTCAAATACAAAATGCGTACAATAACGCCCCTCAAAACCCACAACGCCTATATATATATATATACATACATACATAACTACACATAAATGAATATTATAAATAAAACGCGTACTTTTTTTTTTTTGTGTGTGTGTATTACTATTATTCCTTTTCCGTTTATTTCTTTTTTTTTTTTCCTTTTTTCCTCATTATGGGGCTGTAGCCATCGTTTCCCATTATTGGCATTCATGTCGCATCTTCCGTCCGATTAAATTCTGCATCTAAAATATCCCGCATTTTTTGCATCTCAGTCTTGAAGTCCTCCACTTCTTGCCGTGCGTAGTTGATAATATTTTTCACACCGTACTGCTTACGCAGCTCCTGAACACGCGACTGTTGCTCAATATCCTCCAACCGCAAATGCTTAAACTGAGAATTAAATGGTTGTTTTTTCTCCACCTTCGGTTCTTCACTTGTAGAGGCGTTACCACTCAGATGACCACGCAACTTGGGAAATTTTGACGTGCCATCGCATGCGTCACCATCTGAGTCTACCGGCTCACGATTATTCCTAGCCGACAACGATCGAATTGTTAAAGCATGCGTATAAGCAAGGGGAGGCACAATGTTTTCATCCGGCCACTTCGAATAATGCGATAAGTGATCCAGCCCACCAACGCCAGGTGCCAAAGCTCCACTGCAAGCTACTTGTTGTCGCGGCTGCATGGGCGAAAGAAAACTCCCCGAATGCGCCTCTTGAGATTTATTGCATGAAAGCGATGCCAAGGGCGGACACGGTATCGGTGGCTTTAATGGCGCAGACGCATCCGTTGTTCCTGAAGCATTCCACAGCGGCTGCACGCTTTTCATTTTTAAAGTTCTCAACGATAAACGTGGCTTCGTTGCGTTCGTAATGACAGTCTGTCGGTCTACATTATCACCTTGTACCGTCGCCGTCGCCGTTGTTGGTGTTGTTGTCGTTGCCCCTGCTGCCGCCGTGTTTATGATAGATGTGCCTTTTGGTACCGCCGCCTCGTTGCTGATTTTTTGCGTGGGAACGTTTTTTCTTAGAACGTGTTCTTGTGTGCCGTCGCGTTGCCCCGAGACGGTGTCGAAGCCGTTCCTCTTTTTTGCCTTCCGCTGGTCGCTGCGCAGCTCCACTTTTCGCATAGCGCCGATCTCGCCGCTCACCCCGCATTTACTCATCGCAGACTCCACCGCCGCCAGCTGGCACATGAGGAACGAGAACAACGCACCGACCCCCTGCAGCTCGAAGGTGTGACTGGCGAGTGTCGGGTGCTGCCGCATCGACTCCTCCCACGCCTGTGGGAACTTTGTCCCGCTCTTTACGCCGTCCACAAACAACGCCACTACGGCTCTGGCAAACCACTGCAGCATCTGCCCCAGCTCCGAGTGCTCACCGGCGGCGACAAAACTACTCTCCACGAGAGATTCTGAGGGGCATCCCTGCGAGACCAAAAAACTGCTCGCTTCGGCGCAGACGGAGTCCCTCCCAAAAAAATTACGCCCACACGGGCGATTCTCCGCGCTGCTGAGTCCCTCCAAGTTGGAGATAATTTTTTGCATCTGCTCCGACGTCAGCGCAGCGGGAAGGGCAGACTCTGAGAGACCAATGCTCTCCACTCTTTTGGATAGAAAAGCCAGCGGCATTGACATCCCTCCCCCTCCCACACACACAAGTACACACACACACACACAGAGAGAGAGAGAGAGAAAAAGAGACACAAATCAAACACACAATGGAGTAAACTGTAATCCACTAAATAGTTCGCCTCAAATCAACAAGAAAAAAAGAAGAAAAAAAAAAAAGAAAAGAAGCCAGCATTGTGTTCAATGAAAAGGGGAAATGCAGAGTTACTGAGATGCCATGATGAGTTCTTTTTGTTTTATTATTATTATTATTATTATTATTATTATTAATACCATGTTGAAGTTTTAATAAACATTGTGACATCACAGACTGACTGCAATGCACCGCAGGAAAAGGAAAAGATACACGGAGCAGACAGATGACAAAAATAAATACACACGTCATACGGTTTACTGAAGGCGTAATGCTACATTGGGAAGATTAGTCGATCCACATGCATGCTCCCTTTCACTTCTCACTCTACTCCCCTCGTTCTCCGCAGCTACAGGCCACTGGAGAAGGAACTGACAAACGGTTTCTTACCATGAAGAGCTTCTATTTCTTTGGCGTCTACAAAACGCTTCAAAGCAGCTGTGTCGGTATCGTACATCGGTTCAAACTCATCTATACATGAATGACTCACGACTTTGCCAAGATACTTGGTCCCAATTCCCAAAGGAGTTTTAATAGGAGGCAAACTCAGCTGCTCGACGCCGCTGCGGTTCCATGCACCACGTAAAGTAGAAAATTTCCATACATTCTTTTCCTCTTCATTTTTATCTCCTGCACAATTTAAATGGCTCTTCTTAAAATCACCATCCGTGATCGTAGTAGCCACCATTCCATCTTTCCTTCCGTCGCTTACAGCTTTTTTCAACTTCTCCCGCATCCTCCGTCCGTGTTGCGAACGCAAGGCAGCCCCACTATTAATCCGAATGTCATTTTCAACACTCGTCCCGTAAACAGTCACGGTCGAGCATGGAATCACGGGGCGCCTGTAGATGCCACTCACACACGTCGTTGAGATCAAATGGTGCAATTTCTCTGTCGCCTCCTTGTAGGTCTGTTTTTGTTTGGACTGCCGTCTTTCCAATTCCTCCTGAAGCCGATCCTGAAGCATTTTATTGGCCGCTTCCTGCACATGCGACGAGGCCCTCACAGTTTGCTCAATGTAGAACTTCCTGGCGTAGAAGTCATCTATGTGGCATCGCACATAGTACCCGCGAAAACATGCCTGGATGCGTGTGGCGTAGTACTCATAGACAGCTCTTTCATGTGAAGCCTCTGCCTCCTCCCGAAGCTCCGCCACACGCTTGCGATGCATGTGACCACGATACATCCGCTGCAGGCAGACCACGGCACCCCGCAACACGCGATACGACCGACGATCACGCCACATGCGATAGAATGACTGTATCGTAATCGCCGCAGACAATTCTACTTGCTGCAATGAAGACGCATGGGCCATCGCCTCCATGAGTGAAGCGACCAGTTGTGGTCGCAGTGGTTGAAGGTAAGCACAAGTATTCATTTTCTCCTGTACAGATCTTAACAAAACGCAAAAAAAAAAAAATATACATCACGCCATTAGCAGAGACAAATACACATAGAAAAAAAATATATAACACTTTTCCTGTGTATTCCATAATACATATATATATATATGAAAAATGATTATCAAAGGAACCGCAAGGATTGAGATATCGCCGTGTCAGCATGCCGTCTATAATCAATTGGGCCATGGCATCGTTGCCAGAGCCCACAATCATAAGGGAGTACGTCTCACAGCATCTTAGTGTCTCATCACATGGCACCTCAGGGGTCAGAAGAAGGAAGCCGCAGCGCGGGGGGGGGGCAAGCTCAGAGAATGGATTAACCATGCAGGCGTCATTGAGTAATGCATCTCTCGCCGGAGTTGCAGTAGTAATGAAAATTCCCTTATCACCGCAGGACACCCGCACACAGTCTGGAACGCAACATCTTGGCTCTCTCAGGTCCACGCAGGAGAACGAATGGATACACTCACCGGTGGGATTATTCAGTAAGACAGGGAGTCGATACGCCACAAATGGTGTCTAACCTACATGTGAAATCATGCATCACAGAAGCACTTGGAAACAAAGTAAAAAAAAATAATAATCAGAAATAAATAAATAAATGTATACATCGCCTTTAAGACGCACCTAACATGAAATACACCAGTTGAATTAAAATACAAGACAAATGCCCTCACGCGGTGGCAAGCAATAAAGAAAAAAATTAAAAAAAACTCCCACTTTTGACCTCAAAAAAACATATATTTAAGAAACGTTACGTGTCGTTATTTGGTCGACGGGAAGATGTCCTGCCGAGCCCAGACACGAAAGCCGAACATGTCCATTTCCCGAAATGATAATGCTCGTTATACTACAGTGAGACAATGAAATCCGTAGCCACGCCTCCGGCGGAAGCTGAAGTGCCCGGCACACCAAGTACCGAATCACATTGGCATGACCAACAATGATTTCCACGGAGGATTCATCCGCAGTGGACCGATGGAAATACTTTTCAAAGACCCCCTCCACAGCCCGCATGTCTTTATATGATGCGTATTTGTTACGGAACACAGGCTCCGGATCACATGGGAATCGTTCACGCAATGCGGCATCCGTTGCCAACCGCCTGCGCACATGTGACGGGAACGCCTCCAAAATCAATTTTGCCGTCTGTTGAGCACGTGTCATGTCTGAAACGTGAATGAATTTTGGCTCTGTCGCAATCAAGAAACCTCCCATATGATTTTCCCCCAACGCCGCACCCGCCACGCCACCCGAAGATGAAGCATCACTCGCCAAATAATCCGCGGCATAATTCTTCGCCCTCACCATTTTATTTCCGCTCTGCACAAACGCCTTCCACAAATATTCGCCAGTGCGTCTAGCCTGCTCCTCCCCAAGCGACGTCAAAGTGCGGACACGGTCATCATTTGAACTCTCGTTCTGGTACTGTCCATGACGAATCAAAATAATCTGCCGCTGAAACGAACGATGACGATCAGCACGAATGCCACGCACGCCAGGGCGATCCCAATCGCTCACCCACGGAACACCCCAAGTCTTTACATACTCCAATTCCTCCTTGGTAGGCGGAGGCAAACTCTCAAGAGTATAATTCCTTAAGCCATCAGGAGAAATACCTCTCTGCGAAGGTCCTTCACACCAACAGGAACTAAAACTAGAAAAAAAGACACCAACAACACCACCAAAGAATACTTTAACTAACATATCCAACTACAAAAAAAAAAATTTTAGATAAGAAAAAAAAACATTAATAGTATTAAAACACCACATTCAACTCTGCCTCCAAGAATCCCAAAGCTGCAGCCATGTGCATGTGCATGTATATATATATATATACACACACACCGAGGCGGGGGGTCGTGGACATCTCTTGCTCTCCAGTTTCGTGCACCGCGTCTGTTGGTTTAGCGACGAGCGCACTACAAAAAAGAGCTTTCGCGGGAAGGGGGCACTCTGCGCAAAATGTGTAATGCATGGTTTGTTGCTGACTCGTCAGGGCCCCGATGGAGCTAGAGCGCACACAGGATATGCATAACGGGATAGTCACGCGGCGGAGCATCAGGCGCACAGGGCGCCGAGCGTCACACCGCGCGCGCCCTTGCTCTCCGACCCCCGTGCACACACACGCAGCGGAACGCGTCCAACGCACGCCCCCAGAAGGGACAGCGAGGCCGCGACAGCCACGCGCATGCCGTCTCGAGGCCGTACGCCCACTGAGAGAGCGCCCCCGAGGTGACAGGATCGCGTAATGAAGGCAGAGGGGAGAGGGTGAAAGAGAGGGAGGCTCGGTGCGACGATCAGACGGGGCGTGAAATAACGCTGTTTTCATTGCTGTGTCAACGTCCATCTGCGACGGCTTCACATCGGCCTGGTTGTCGATCACATCGCCATGCACATGCGCCAGGGCAGGGAGGGAGGAGGCGTCGGGGTCGCGGTCAGACTGGGGCGACAGTGTTTCTTGCTCACGGGTTCGTCAAAGTCTGTGATGTTACGTCAATCATCATATCCAGATCCGTCTCCAGGAATCCCAAAGCTGCAGCCATGTGCATGTGCATGTATATATATATATATATATATACACACACACCGAGGCGGGGGGTCGTGGACATCTCTTGCTCTCCAGTTTCGTGCACCGCGTCTGTTGGTTTAGCGACGAGCGCACTACAAAAAAGAGCTTTCGCGGGAAGGGGGCATTCCGCGCAAAATGTGTAATGCATGGTTTGTTGCTGACTCGTCAGGGCCCCGATGGAGCTAGAGCGCACACAGGATATGCATAACGGGATAGTCACGCGGCGGAGCATCAGGCGCACAGGGCGCCGAGCGTCACACCGCGCGCGCCCTTGCTCTCCGACCCCCGTGCACACACACGCAGCGGAACGCGTCCAACGCACGCCCCCAGAAGGGACAGCGAGGCCGCGACAGCCACGCGCATGCCGTCTCGAGGCCGTACGCCCACTGAGAGAGCGCCCCCGAGGTGACAGGATCGCGTAATGAAGGCAGAGGGGAGAGGGTGAAAGAGAGGGAGGCTCGGTGCGACGATCAGACGGGGCGTGAAATAACGCTGTTTTCATTGCTGTGTCAACGTCCATCTGCGACGGCTTCACATCGGCCTGGTTGTCGATCACATCGCCATGCACATGCGCCAGGGCAGGGAGGGAGGAGGCGTCGGGGTCGCGGTCAGACTGGGGCGACAGTGTTTCTTGCTCACGGGTTCGTCAAAGTCTGTGATGTTACGTCAATCATCATATCCAGATCCGTCTCCAGGAATCCCAAAGCTGCAGCCATGTGCATGTGCATGTATATATATATATATATATATATATACACACACACACCGAGGCGGGGGGTCGTGGACATCTCTTGCTCTCCAGTTTCGTGCACCGCGTCTGTTGGTTTAGCGACGAGCGCACTACAAAAAAGAGCTTTCGCGGGAAGGGGGCACTCTGCGCAAAATGTGTAATGCATGGTTTGTTGCTGACTCGTCAGGGCCCCGATGGAGCTAGAGCGCACACAGGATATGCATAACGGGATAGTCACGCGGCGGAGCATCAGGCGCACAGGGCGCCGAGCGTCACACCGCGCGCGCCCTTGCTCTCCGACCCCCGTGCACACACACGCAGCGGAACGCGTCCAACGCACGCCCCCAGAAGGGACAGCGAGGCCGCGACAGCCACGCGCATGCCGTCTCGAGGCCGTACGCCCACTGAGAGAGCGCCCCCGAGGTGACAGGAT